CTATCGATGTTATGATGCTATGATTGTTAAATTGTCATCAAAATATTTTAGACAATGAAATGATACAAAAGACCCTTTCCTAAAGTGAAGGAAAAGGGTAAACAGGTGAGATAGGTAGTTCTGATAAACTGGCTATTTGGTGATTAAGAACCTGTAGAGCCATCTATGTGTAAATACAATAAATAAACGTGTGTTACAGTGGGCATGACATGTATTCTTGCCACATGGAGCTAATGGGTTTTTAATTAGTGTTTTCTATTTTTTTCATCATTATTTTCATCATTATCACCATCATTACCAACATCAAGATCACCCATATTATCATCACTTTCATTAACATTACCTTTATCATTACCTACACCAATTCATTTGTGATTTTCTATATTTAACACTTTCCATAGTCTTATCTATAAATTTAGTATTGTTACTGTGTGTTTATTTTCTTTGTTAAACGATTTTTGTTGAATCTAATATAACATGAGTATATATATATATATACATACATACATACATACATACATACATACACACACACACACACACACACCATGAGTATATATATACATACATACATACACGCACACACACACACATATATATGTGTGTGTGTGTGTATGTCTGTGTATGTATGTCTATACAATATCCACGAGGTGCCCCCACGCCAAGCCGAAGCGACCTACCCACGCGGCGCCCCCACGCCAAGCCGAAGCGACCTACCCACGCGGCGTGCCCAAGCGCATGGCAGGTGGCCGAGCAATATAGTGTATCAAATCGGCAATATAGTGTATTAAATCGGTATTATATGCCTGCGTGGCCCCCACGTGGAGGCTTGCAGTGGCCACGTGGCGACACGCCCTGAGCGGCGTGCCCACAACGGCCGGGCGGTTCTCCTCGCCCCCCAAGCCAGCGTCTCGAATACTTAAGGCAGCGTTTTGACCCGGTCAAAAGCCTCCGGGCTAGTACAGTGGTAACGTGTCGGCCTCTCATCTGAGGGGTCGGCGGTTCGCGCCCCGCCCAGGCGCGAGAAGTTGCAATTGTCGCCTGGAGGTTACTGCTGTGGCCGGGCACCACGGTGGGTAAGGACTAAGCTCACCCGAGTCAGCACCTGCTGACACACTGATAGCGAGTCGACATACGTCGGCACAGGCCGGGCTCCCCCATAGCCCGGGCGAGGTCCACAGCTTCGCATATCGGACTTATCCTTACCCGGTCAAAGGAGAGTGTGACCGGCGCAGTCAAGGTCACAACAGCCCGCTGGACCGGTCTGTCGTTGAGGTGGGATATCCGGTGACCCCAAGTGACCAGCCCATAATCCAAGACTCGTCATCGTTGAGTTTATTCACTGTGTGCTGAACTCTTATCAGTAAAAGAGATTTAAGCCACTAAGCTTTTATTACTCCCTGTCACCAATGTTCAGAGGCCCCTTTAATAAACTCTTACAATGTCTGTGTGTATGCATGTATGTATGCATGCATGTATGTATGTATGTATTCATATGTGCGTATGAGAAAGAGAATGGGAGGAATTCTGATAACGAACAATATTACCTACTTTGATGATGATGATCACGGTAATAATGATATTGGTGAGAAGAATACCTATAAATGAAGAAAAAAAAACATTACTGAGGATGATAACAACATCTATAACAGCAATGCTAATACTTCGGAGCATTCTCAAAACTAAAGACACAAGAAACACAATCCGCATGCGATATACAGCGAATAACAAGGTCCTTAAGCCCTCCGCCCACCGCCGCGGCCAATTTTTACGTCTGAACTTTCCCTTCATCGCACGTGGGTCATCAAAGAAAACGAGAGCCTACGCTGCGGAAACATCGAGGAAATAACTGCAAAGAAATGGTCAGAGTTTCCAGACTTTCATCCAAAGCAAAACGTCTGAAGTCTTTTTTTAAGTTGCTTTACTGAGGAGAGTTTATGAAATTCATGAGGTTTTTGGGATACAGAAGGAATACACTTCGGAATACAAAGTTCTAGTGACCATTAGATTCTGAAGATGAAAGGGAAGAATGGAAAGAGAGAGAAGAAAAAGAAGAGGAGGAATAGGAAGGATGAGACATAACAACGATGGAGAGGTAGAAACGAAAACGATAAGAAGAAAAGAAAAGGGGAAGAGAAATAGGAGAGAGAGAAAGAAAAGATAATGAAGAAACGAAACAAAAAAAGAAATAACAAACTGAATAGCTAACACACAGGAAAAGAAAAACATCTTAGAATATAAAAATAAGAAAGATACTTTACTCTCCGATAAGGTCTACTAAGTGTCTATCGGTCAATATTGAGGTACACGATCATATTGATAAGGATAATTATTTGACGATAGTAATCGAAATAAAAGTGATAAAAAGGCTAAAACTTATTTCAATAATAAAGATAATCTAACCAATAAATACCAATCAAGAAGACAGTACTCATCCACAGCTTCTACCCTATGATTACCAAGTGTATTAAGAGAGAGAGAGAGAATATATATATGAGTGTGTGTGTGTGTAAGGGTTATTAAAGGGGACCCTCTAAACATTGGTTACAGGTAGTAGAAAAAGCTTGGTGGCTTAAAACTCTTTTATTGATAGAGCTAGCAAGCACACAGAGTTGAAACACAATATGACAGTCTTGGGTATTGGGCGGTCGGCTGGAGGGTCGCCCGGGCTCACTGGCGAGCCCAGCCCCGGTCAGACGTGACCTTGACCGCGGCAGGGCAAACTCTGCTTTGACCGGTCAAAACGCGGCCTTAAGTATCCGAGGCGGGAGACGAGTGGGAACGAGGCTAGGTAGCAAGCGGCGTGGGTACGCTCCGCTGCAAGCAGCGTGGGTACGCTTCGCTGGGCGGCTTGGCGTGGTGTAAGCATCCACGTGGTCGCATACAGTATATTGTATATTGCTCGGCCACCTACTCACGGCTCGTCCTCTAGGCGATCTAGACTTCCCTCAAGGGTGACCCAACCTGGCTGATTCCAACTTGCTCGTCCTCGATCTCGGGTGCGGTATCCTTGGTGCATCTCCGTGGCTGCTCGTTCTGTGTCGTCATCCTCGCTCTGGTCCCTGGGAATCTGTTCGTTCTCGACATCCTCATGTCCTCGACTCGGGCGGTCCTCGCAAGACATCCTAGTGGTCCGCGTACAGGTCAAACTCGGCGGCTTATTCGCCCAATGCACGTCTCGCAGATCTTCGTCCAGGTCCTTCTCGGCTGCGCGCTCGTACAAACGTCCTCGTAATCTTCGTCAGGATCTACGGGCGTCCGGCAGGAAGCGTCCTCTTCGACATCGTAGGGCGGCTGATACCTGCACTAATGAGCTCCTGGAGTTTGACTGGGTCTGTGGCGTCCAGGCATGCAGCGCCCGTCCACAGCATCATAGGACGGCGAACCTGTACTGGCGAGCTCCTGTCTTCGCTGGATCTCGGGTGTCCTGGCGAGCGGCGACCTCCGATGACGTTTTCTAATGGTTCCGAAGGTGACAGTTTCTGCAGCAGGGCCTCCTTCAGTGCCGTTTTAGATATCGGGAACCAGAATAACACATAATGGGCCAGATAGTGAGAGAAGGAAAACGACAGAGAAGAGGTGTTAAATGCTACAAGCCGATTTTTTTATTCATAATTTGCAGTTTTTAACCCTTTCGCGCCTGGCGGGAAGTCAGGTTCCTGCTTAACATCATAGCTATATACTACTGATGATGGGAGAGGCGAAGACACTGTCAGGAACCTCATTACCCTCCTAGGGATCAACCAGATTGTGAATCTGGCAACATTTGCTGCCCGGCGTGACAAAACAATCAAGCAGACGATTTTTTTTGCAGTGAAGGTCCCACCAGAAATTTATGCTACATTTCCAACCCAATTTCTCTCATATATCGTTAAGTTGTACTGTGTTTTTTTGTCAGTTTATTCTTTAGTGAGTCAAGAACACCCAGAGTTATTAAAAGTATACAAAGCAGTGAACACTTTTATGATATATGGCTAAATGTGGCTGGGTATTCAAGTTCTCGACAGGGAGCTAGTTGCCAATTAGGGATTTAGTCATATTTTCAGATTGCTGATTATATGTATAGAAAAGGTGTATTCACATCATTTATTGTTTATCATCTTTTACACTATTTGAAAAAATAATTTACTACTACCACTGATGAATAAAAATGTTGGAGAGCCCTTTTTTTTCTTCTTCGGTAATGAAATTTTACTACAGTTATCCATATACCTTTGAATAGAAAATAAGTATTGAGAAACGATTATAGAAAATTAATTTCAGCATTGACTGATAAAGTTTTCCGGGACGAAAAATAAGTGGCGGTAGGCCAATTCATTATTGCCATAGCACATTGTGTTGGCAGTATATATTGTTATTATGTTTTTTTTTTTACTTCAGATACCAGCATGGCAGCAAGGAAAGACCTAAATGGAGTTTCTTGAAAGTTTTAGAAGACCTTCCATCGGATTACGACTCCGATACAGATGTAGAAGAGGATATAGATCACCCCGAGTTTGAGGATGACCTTACCCAATTCAGCCACAATACTGTATCAATTGATCCCTTATTACGAGCTCAAAGAGAGTCTGAAGAAGCCACAGCAATTTATGAACTTATTGCAACTCACCTGGAGCATCCTACATAACCGGGCTCCCCAAATAGGCATAGCCCGGGCGAGGCTCTGCTTCGCGAATCTAAAAAAAAAAAAAAAAAAAAAAAAAAAAAAAAAAAAAAAAAAAAAAAAAAAAAAAAAAAAAAAAAAAAAAAGCATCCTACATCAGACAAAGAGGGGCATCCCTCTACTAGTTATCAGTGTCAGCACGACAGACGGCGTTGGAGGAAGAAGCCGGAAGCTGCTCAGAATGTAGAGTTCCAACCTAATTCAATGAATGAGAATTCATATTCGTCTGCACTCCATGCCTTTCTACAATTTTTTGATGAGGACATAATCAACAATATTGTTTATCAGACAAATCTTTATAGTGTGCAAAAGGGTAGAGCAATATCTTTGAGCAAAGATGAATTTTATGTGTATCAACATAGTAATGGGTTATCATAAACTTCCAGGTTTGCATCATTATTGGGCAACAGCTGAAGACCTGGGTGTTAGGCCTATTCGAGAAGCAATGGTACGTGATAGATTCATGAGTACTCTTAGTAAATTGCACTTGAATGACAACTCCAAAATGAATCCAAATAATAAGGATAAGCTGTATAAGCTAAGGCCGCTTATTGACAGCCTAAATAGGATTTTTTTGGACATAAGGTCTCCCGGAGAACAGCTAAGTGTTGATGAGTCAATGATTCGTTTCAAAGGGAGATGTAGTTTCAAACAATATAATCCCATGAAACCAATCAAAAGGGATTATAAAATGTGGTGTCTTGCAGGTAATGCAGGATACATTTTCAAGTTTGATATATATACTGGCAAAGGGGGAGACACTGAGCCAAATTTGAGGAAAGAATATGGTTTAGGTGAAGTTCTGAAATTGACCGACCATCTCAGAGGCAAAAATCACAAAGTCTTCTTTGACAACATTTTTACATCTTTTGCTCTCCTAAAAGTATTGCAAAGTTTTCGGATTCAAGCATGTGGCACTATCAGACCAACAAGAAAAGATTTTCCTTGTCTAGCAGGTGACAAAGAACTAAAAAGAGGAGACTTTGATTACAGGTCCACACCAAATGGTATAATTGCCTACAAATGGAAGGATAATAAAACAGTTCATTTAGCTTCCAACTATCATGGTATTTCCCCTACAACTGTCAAAAGAACAGAGAAATATGGAAACAAGATAACAATTCCATGCCCACAGGTAGTAAAAGACTATAACGAGAACATGGGCGGAGTAGATAAGCACGCTATGCTTCGGCAACTGTATGGCACAAACAGAAAGAGCATGAAATGGTGGCATAGAATTTTCTTTGGTCTTCTTGATATGAGTATTGTGAATGCATATGCTGTTTACAAAGAAACTCATCCATCTCTTTCAACTTCGTACAGAGCTTGCCAGAGGACTTCTGACTTATACAAAAGATCGTAAAGCTCGAGGAACGCCCAAGCGAAGGAAAACTGAGTACAGTATACCAACGTCAGTTAGATTTACCAATACTGGGGTACATTGGCCAAAATTCACTCAGAAAAAGGGAAGATGTGAGGTATGCTCCAAGAAAGGAATAGAGTCACGACCAATATCAATATGCAGTCATTATGGGATTCATCTATGTTGTATTGCTACAAAGAATTGTTTTTTTGAATTTCACAACTAAATTCTACTTTCATTGTAATGAGTTGCAATAGAAGAAATAGAAAATTTAGACTTTTACTTATTTGCTCATATATATTATGTACATTATTACAATTACAGTGTATTATTTTCATGTAAAAGAATGAAATACGATATGTTCAATTTTATATGTAACAGGTGTCAATGATAATTATAAAGTGTGATAATGCCATGGAATAATATTATATTCTAGTATTTCATAAAGAGTGCAAATATAGTATTATTTTGTTAAAATTCTTTCTCAGAAGTTAACTATTATGTTTTCTTTTTTGTAAAAAAAAAATGGTTCCTTTTTTGTGTCTAGAAGCCTGGCGGGACTCTGAGTACCCACTACTGTATTTGTATTGAAAATACAATATGCAAAATTTGTAACATAAATTGTTTCATTGGGGTCCTAGGAACAATATATCTCTGAATAAAAAATAAAAAATCAGGATTTCTTAATTCAGGTAGGAAAGGGTAGTTAAATTTTCGTTATTTTCGTCTTTTGTGCTTTATGTTCACAAAGTTAAGCTAAAAGAGGAAATTAGGAGAGGGAGACGGCGATAGCGTCCGCGAGGACATCTTGAACTACCAAACCGTCTCTAGATAGAAACGAGAATAAAGTCAGGGGAACAACAATTGGCAACCCGCAAGGATTTTACTTGAACCATTTGTCGCACCCGAAGAAAGTATGTAAATACGAAATCATGTATAAGTCACGCATCACGACTAACAATATTGCGGCAAACAAATAGTATGCCTGCACTAAGACAGCAGCAAATCCTATTAATGAAGGTTTCAGTGTCTCTGTTCTGCGTCGGTGAGTGAGTGAGTATGTGTGCATGTTTGAGTGAAAGTGATTGATGAGTGTTAAATGGAAGTAAGAGTGACCTCCTATAACAGTAGAGTTGCTAACACGCTGAATAAAGTTCATTCTAGCAATAATGCGACTAATTATTTATAGACGTAATTCAAAATTATTTCAAGTACCACACTGAATTTAACATTTAATGATATGCGACAAAATGACGCATTAATGAATGGTGACGTGAAATTATTCGCAAGCCTCTTCGCGAGCAAATCTTCTCGGGAATTTCCCCGAGGAAGTAGGTGTCTTTACCGACCATGCAGACTTCATTTGACGGGGGGAAGTGACCCAAAAATTGTCGTATTTTATGAAGCTTAAACAAGCTGGGAAAATCTATAAATTACCCACTCTATCTGCGGATCTATGATGGCGCCATTGAAATGTGTGTGTGTGTGTGTGTGTGTGTGTGTGTGTGTGGTGTGTGTGTGTGTGTGGTGTGTGTGTGTGTGGTGTGTGTGTGTGTGGTGTGTGTGTGTGTGGTGTGTGTGTGTGTGTGGTGTGTGTGTGTGTGTGTGTGTGTGTGGTGTGTGTGTGTGTGTGGTGTGTGTGTGTGTGGTGTGTGTGTGTGTGTGGTGTGTGTGTGTGTGTGGTGTGTGTGTGTGTGGTGTGTGTGTGTGTGTGTGTGGTGTGTGTGTGTGTGTGGTGTGTGTGTGTGTGTGTGGTGTGTGTGTGTGTGTGGTGTGTGTGTGTGTGTGGTGTGTGTGTGTGTGTGTGTGTGTGTGTGTGTGGTGTGTGTGTGTGTGTGTGTGTGTGTGTGGTGTGTGTGTGTGTGGTGTGTGTGTGTGTGTGTGGTGTGTGTGTGTGTGTGTGTGGTGTGTGTGTGTGTGGTGTGTGTGTGTGTGTGTGTGGTGTGTGTGTGTGTGTGGTGTGTGTGTGTGTGGTGTGTGTGTGTGTGTGTGTGGTGTGTGTGTGTGTGTGTGTGTGTGTGTGGTGTGTGTGTGTGTGGTGTGTGTGTGTGTGTGTGGTGTGTGTGTGTGTGTGTGTGGTGTGTGTGTGTGTGTGTGTGTGTGTGTGTGGTGTGTGTGTGTGTGTGTGGTGTGTGTGTGTGTGTGTGTGTGGTGTGTGTGTGTGTGGTGTGTGTGTGTGTGTGTGTGTGTGGTGTGTGTGTGTGTGTGTGTGTGTGGTGTGTGTGTGTGTGTGTGTGGTGTGTGTGTGTGTGGTGTGTGTGTGTGTGTGTGTGGTGTGTGTGTGTGTGGTGTGTGTGTGTGTGTGGTGTGTGTGTGTGTGTGTGTGTGTGTGTGGTGTGTGTGTGTGTGTGTGTGTGTGGTGTGTGTGTGTGTGTGTGTGTGGTGTGTGTGTGTGTGTGTGTGGTGTGTGTGTGTGTGTGTGTGTGTGGTGTGTGTGTGTGTGTGTGTGTGGTGTGTGTGTGTGTGGTGTGTGTGTGTGTGTGTGTGTGTGGTGTGTGTGTGTGTGTGTGGTGTGTGTGTGTGTGTGGTGTGTGTGTGTGTGTGTGTGTGTGTGTGTGTGGTGTGTGTGTGTGTGTGTGTGTGTGTGGTGTGTGTGTGTGTGGTGTGTGTGTGTGTGTGGTGTGTGTGTGTGTGTGTGGTGTGTGTGTGTGTGGTGTGTGTGTGTGTGGTGTGTGTGTGTGTGGTGTGTGTGTGTGTGTGGTGTGTGTGTGTGTGGTGTGTGTGTGTGTGTGTGTGTGGTGTGTGTGTGTGTGTGTGTGTGTGTGTGTGTGGTGTGTGTGTGTGTGTGGTGTGTGTGTGTGTGTGTGGTGTGTGTGTGTGTGTGGTGTGTGTGTGTGTGGTGTGTGTGTGTGTGGTGTGTGTGTGTGTGTGTGGTGTGTGTGTGTGTGGTGTGTGTGTGTGTGTGGTGTGTGTGTGTGTGGTGTGTGTGTGTGTGTGTGTGGTGTGTGTGTGTGTGGTGTGTGTGTGTGTGGTGTGTGTGTGTGTGTGTGTGTGTGTGTGTGTGGTGTGTGTGTGTGTGGTGTGTGTGTGTGTGTGGTGTGTGTGTGTGTGGTGTGTGTGTGTGTGGTGTGTGTGTGTGTGGTGTGTGTGTGTGTGGTGTGTGTGTGTGTGTGTGTGGTGTGTGTGTGTGTGGTGTGTGTGTGTGTGGTGTGTGTGTGTGTGGTGTGTGTGTGTGTGTGTGGTGTGTGTGTGTGTGGTGTGTGTGTGTGTGGTGTGTGTGTGTGTGTGTGTGTGGTGTGTGTGTGTGTGTGTGGTGTGTGTGTGTGTGTGGTGTGTGTGTGTGTGGTGTGTGTGTGTGTGTGTGTGGTGTGTGTGTGTGTGGTGTGTGTGTGTGTGTGTGGTGTGTGTGTGTGTGTGTGTGGTGTGTGTGTGTGTGTGGTGTGTGTGTGTGTGTGGTGTGTGTGTGTGTGGTGTGTGTGTGTGTGTGTGGTGTGTGTGTGTGTGTGGTGTGTGTGTGTGTGGTGTGTGTGTGTGTGGTGTGTGTGTGTGTGGTGTGTGTGTGTGTGTGTGTGTGTGTGTGTGTGTGTGTGGTGTGTGTGTGTGTGGTGTGTGTGTGTGTGGTGTGTGTGTGTGTGTGGTGTGTGTGTGTGTGTGTGTGTGCTATTAAGAAAAATAACAATCATGAATCACGAACCGATGGGATTTTACCCATCATAACGGAGACATATAAAAGTGTGAGCGGGTTGTGATTAATTAAGTGGATCCTAAATCAGGCTTAAATCCTAGTCCTAAATTAATGGACATAATTGTGGTCACCCTGGCTCAAAGTTTGCCGAATGTATGATTTACTTCAGTTACTTTAACTTACTATCATTGTCAGAACTATCATCATTTAAAGGAGACGCCGAGTACATTACGCATAAAAATGCAATCTCAACTGCAAGCTGTTTTTCTCCACTATTTACTGAGATAACTATTCCTAGTGAAAGTCAGATCAGGTCACGACAGCTATTCGAAGAATGACCATCAAGTGAAGTCAGGTCACGATAGCTGTCCCCAAGTGGCCTCTGATTAACGACTTTCAGCTGAGGTCAGGTCAAGACAGAAAAATGGAGAGAGATGAATTTAATGAGAGTGAATATTCGTGAAAGAATAAATTCACGAACGCGCTAAATTCGATACAATTGAAACAATATAATTTAATCACGAAAAAAAATAAATAGACGCTTAATAAATGAACGATTTCATAATGTTTAGCTCCATACCGCGATTGATAGTAATGAGAAGTGAGGTCAGAGAATGAGAAATGAGAGTATGCCATTGCTATACTTAGCACTTTTAACCAAAAAAACAAACAAACGTGAGCTGGCTGTACACGGCCTAACACATTTAGGAAAAATAGAAGAGAAATGAAAAGAGAAGGGGCCCATAAATGTGTACTCACGGTTTTCTTGAAGATGTGTCATCTTGCGTTTGCCGAAGCCGAGCGGTTTGTCTTCGAAGGAGCTTGTTCGATTGCGTGGCCGAAAGGGCGCAACGACCACCGCCTGCCACCAGCATACGGAGTTGAAACACAATATGACAGTCTTGGGTATTGGGCGGTCGGTTGGAGGGTCGCCCGGGGTCACTGCCGAGCCCAGCCCCGGTCAGACGTGACCTTGACCGCGGTAGGGCAAACTCTGCTTTGACCGGTCAAAACGCGGCCTTAAGTATTAGAGGCGGAGACGAGTGGGAACGAGGCTTGGTAGCAAGCGGCGTGGGTACGCTTCGCTGGACGGCTTGGCGTGGTGTAAGCATCCACATGGTCGCATCCAGTATATTGTACTGTATGCGTATGTATGTGTGTGTGTGTGTGTGTGTGTGTGTGTGTGTGTGTGTGTGTGTGTGTGTGTGTGTGTGTGTGTGTGTGTGTGTGTGTGTGTGTGCTATTAAGAAAAATAACAAAATCACTTATCCTTTTATCAACTAATCCTTTTCCGCTGCTAGAGAATATGTGTGTGTGTGTGTACATGCCTGCAGATCTGTATGTCTTATATATCTGCCTGTTCATCTCTATCTGTCTGTCTGTCTACGTGTCTATGTATATATATGTATATATACCATTCTATCTTCATATATAAGATGTATTTTTAAGTAATCGGTAATAACATCTGATATGATTTGAACCATT